TGCAATTTGATGATGAGGGCCGTGAACGAGTCGTGAGTTATCAGTCGCGACAGATGAAGCCAGCTGAGAAGAACTATCCGGTTCACGACAAGGAGTTATTAGCGATGCGCTATGCACTCATCAAGTTTCGCGTGCATCTCCTTGGTGAAAGTAAGTTTGCTTTGTACACCGATCATGCATCGCTGCGCACAGCGATGAAGAGCCCACACCTGTCCCAACGGATGGCACGATGGCTCTCATTCTTCTCTGAGTACAACTTCGTCGTGCATTACAAGCCAGGCAAGACCAATATTCTCGCTGACGCCTTGTCACGACGTCCCGACTACGATCCTCGGACTGCTCTGAGTCGCCAGGCTACTGATGACGAGGACGATGATGACCGATGTGCAATGTGTGTATCGCTGAACTTAACTCGGGTTACACCCGAGCCGTGTTTATTTGATGAGATCGTCGCAGCGTACAAGGGTGACTCAGATTATGCAGACATTATCGAGTATCTGCGTGCTCCCAGCGATGCTGCACTGGGAGCATTATCCCGTACCAAGCGCGACCATATTCATCGATACAGTTTAGATGGCGATTTGCTTCTGTATAGCATCGACCAATGCGATGCTCCTCGCACGGTGATTGCCAATGACATGGATTTGCGTGCAAGAATCATTCACGAGTATCACGATGCTCCTGCTGGCGGCCATTTAGGCCGCGAAAAGACTTTCGCGGCTGTGTCTCGAGACTTCTTCTGGCCCCACATGTATAAGTGGGTACGCAACTGGATCCGAACGTGCGAAATATGCCAGCGTGTGAAGCCATCTCCATCGTCACAGGCTCCCTTGCGATCGTTGCCAATTGCAGCAGAGGCCTGGAGATCAGTTTCGATGGACTTTATCTTCGGGCTTGCGCCCGATAGCCAAGCTCGAACGGGCATCTTGGTCTTTGTTGACAGATTCAGCAAGATGACACATCTCGTGCCTGTTCACGCTAAGGTCACCGCGGCAGAGACCGCGGCGCACTTCATCGACGCGGTGTTCCGTCATCATGGCCTTCCAGAAAACATTGTTTCGGACCGTGATCCGCGATTTACGTCCGCATTTTGGACATCACTTTTCGAGCTCCTCGGGACAAAACTGCTGATGTCGACGGCAGACCATCCGGAAACGGATGGGCAGACCGAGCGCGTGAACCGAGTCCTCGAAGATGTTCTTTGGAGTTATGCTACGTCAGTTACAAGTTGGAGTGCATTTTTACCACTCGCTGAGTTCGCACTCAACAACGCCGTACACGCGTCAACAGGGTTGACGCCATTTTTTGTGAATTCGGCTCGTCACTCTCGTGTTCCTACTGTCCTGGCCGTGGGGCGACCCACAACACCTAGTGGCTCCACTCTGGGGGGGATAAAGGTGATAAACAAGGATCGAGTGCAGCTCACGGTATTTTGAGCGCGAATGCAGTAACACGATCCAAGGCAAAGACGGCCATTTTGACGCCATCAGACGTGGCGTCCCCATTAGCTCGATGGACTGCGCAGACATTGATTGACCCGTCTTCGGGTAAGCGTTCCCCTACTGCCAACTACGCGCCGATTGAGTCGGCGCGACCAATTGATGACATGGCCGTGTCGGAATTTATACTCCAACGTCAAGCCATCACCAGGTTTGTACGCGACGCACTACAAACTGCTGTAGACCTACAGAAGGAGAACGCTGACAAACATGGAAGAAAGAACATGAGCAAGTTTGAGAAAGGTGACCGTGTATTATTATCGACGGAAGGTTTAAGGGATTCTGCGGTCACTAATCTGGGCGCGAGTAAACTCGCGCCACGCTTCATCGGTCCATTCAAGGTTCTGAAGGCAATTGGCGACGCTTATACACTCGACGTCCCCTCTTCACTGCGACTCCACCCGACATTCTATGTCGGGCGGCTGAAGGAATATCGTCCGGCTACGCTTCACGGTTTGGCTCCGACGCCGGCTTCAGGGGTTCGTAAGTCGAACGGCCTTCCCGTCGCGCTCGACGCGCCGATGACATGGGGCGGGGTCTCGATCCCGTCTGAACCTGACCAAGCATCTGGCGCTCCAGAATCCTTATCCGCTCGAGCAGTTCACGGTTCGACTGCCGGGTCTCATTCGAAGTCTTCTCCGCCTGGGCAGCACGTTCACTGGCAGCCTCAGCCTCCAGCCGAGCATCGGCAGCTATATTCACGGCCTGATCAACATCGTCCTGAGCAACCAGGACGCCAGCTCTACCACCGCGAGAGCCCTCCTCCGCTTGTTGATGCGGAGGGACAGGTGCGCTGGATTGTAGACCGCATTGTGGGTCACGAGGACCCTCCACAACCATTACTGCAGTCGGCTCATGAGAAGCGTGCGGTTCCATCCGTGCGTAGGTACCGAGTACGTTGGCTTGGATTCCCTCCCGAGCAGGATACATGGGAACCACGTTCCTCGCTCCTTCGTGACGTTCCAGATGTGGTTCTGTCGTATGAAGCCACGAAGTCGGACTATTCCAAGGCGGGCGAGCACGCGAACGCTCTCGTGACAAACGAGAGCGGTAAGGAGATTCACGTTGTCGGAAACGGGAACGATGACAAGAACGAGAACGATGTCGCGAACGCAAACGATGTCGCGAACGAGATCGATGCCGTGATCGAGAATGTCGCGGTGAATACATATCACGATTGCGAGGCGAGAATCGCGCAACTGGACGGGCAGGCGAACGTGTCGCTGCCCTGCGCTGATGATCCCGCGGAGATCGACTCCGCTGTCGCGAGTGGTGCCGCCAGCAGGGCGCACCACGAATAACTGCGCTTCTCCGTTCGCCCAGACTTCGCTCATACTTCGCAATCCAACTTCGTTCGCGATCACTGAGTGGACACTCAGCGATGTGTCGTCGCCATTCGTCATGAGTTGGGCGTGGAGTCGAGTCACAAGATTGGCATCCGATTCCAACGTTGGATGAAGGCGCACCAAGAACGTTGTAGAGCTTCATGCTCGATTCCATCAAGACCTTTCCCGCGCAGTTTTCGAAATCGGCGGAAGTAGTCCCGCATCATGTCCAGTGAGTCCGGAGCGTGAGCTCCGGACAAGTCGTACAGCGACCAAGGTATGAGCTGCCGCGCCATGATGTTGGTTGATGCACTTCCGCTGACGTTCCTTGGGAGTGCTGCTGGACTGGGTGTTGGGTCTCCGGACATTGCTTGTTCGTTTGTGGGCGAAGGGTTTTCGACAGTTGAGCACTCACGGTTGGTGAGTGCTGTTATGAGAAGGGGGTGATGTAATGGGCTACATTACACATATAGCATTAACACAAATAAACAATTACATATGTAGGCAGGTGCTGGGCCCGAATAGCGGGCACAGCGTGGTAATTTATTATTGGTTTATTATTGGGCCTAAAGTCCCCAATATGGACCAATGATAAATCAACCTGAAATTGTGTGGTTCCCGAAAGGCGGGAACACTGTCGTATTTATTACGACTAAAATCTTCGTAATTAGTACGAATTAAAACCAAAATAAAAATCAGAGTTAAATTTACTTAATACCTAATACTCGGGCTTGAGTCTTCCTCAAGCGCACGTGTAAGCTAGTGACGGTACGTTCTAGCCCCGTTACAAATGTCACCATCATCGCATCGTTATTCGCACGACAGACCTCGATGGCATCATCGAGTTCGACGAAGCATCTTAACAAGGTGTTGCCCTCGATGCCATGTCACATCAATTATTTAGGCTCGAGGCGACGCGAATGCTTCCCTCCCCCAGCTGCAGCATTCGCGTCGCCTCGATTCCTTGCCAGCTTGCTGCTATAGAAAGGTATGGTTTTTAATCCCTTCGTCCAGTTCATGGTGGATACGCTTTGCGATGGTTGCATGTCATCTTCATCTAAAGATAGCGCTATGACACCGTCTCTCACGTTTGTAAATTCTCCTCACTTTGAAACTTGCGCGACAGTCAGACACTGCGGAGTCGTTCACGGCTTCAGCATTTTGCTAAAGCCTTTAATACAGATAGCTCCAAATGTTTGATGCTTGTAGTTGTTGCACTTGTGCAATGGTTGTTAGAAGCTAAAGTAAACATGTTAAGCATTAACTGCTCTCGTTTGTCAACACTACAACAAGCACGCTGACGGCACTGCAACTTGACCATGTAAGTGTCAGATGGCATCCGTCTTACCTGCTTATCTCGTATGGTGGTCCCACATTGCAATCGTATGGCCTTGTCCGAACGGTCCAGTTGTCAGCTTGTCGTCCCAACTAGTAAGTTGTCACCTGCCTCTCCTTGTCCCATCTGTCTAATTGTCACACAACCGACCATTCGGGTGTATGTCCCACGGTATTGCACTTGAACCTTATAACCTGTCAACCTGCCAAACACGATTTTTTCAAACAGGAATTGTTGAAGCAGATGCGTAGTGCTCACTAGGTAGTCATTGAACACTAAAATACATTGGTCCTTAGTTCACCAGCAACTGCTACCTTTAAGCCACTCATTTCTCATGCTAGACTCAGTATATCATACTCACTGATTTACCTTGGCCATTGACTGACAACGCGCCCGTAATCACTGACCGTCATCATGTCCATAATCCCGCGTCTGTCCAACAGGCGCTCAGCGGTGCGACAGTGTACCTTACCTACATGTCCATCTTCAACAATAACAGTATACTGATGACAGAGTAAGCAGAGGCCTTGCAGCTCACGTACGATAAAGCACAAAGGAATGCAAGGCAACAAACGTTGCGCTTAGTTGTAGGAAAAAGGAGAACTATATTTAGCCAGTTCTCCTGTTATTTCTCTCCAAAGAGATTTAACGACAATATCGTCTAGTAAGACAATATTGTCAAATTTTAATTGCTATGATAATATTGTCTAATATCAATCGATAATATTAACATTTGCCAATGTCAACTTTTGAGCCTAATTTAGTCCACCACATTTTGAGTTTTTTTAGTGATACACAATTTCGAATAGTTGGTAGACGCAGCGCAGCCATTTATCTACTATGCCCAAGGCCGAGAAGGGGAAGCCCAAGCGCGCGTGTCCGCTTGAAAAGCAACTTGCTTTTGATAACAAGCCGTGGTATGATCAGGATGGCAAGAAGAATGCGCGCTGCGATGCTGATGACTTGGACGACGGTATGGTGGAAGATGTAATGCCTGAAAAGTTGAGTCGCCGCACACTGGCGCTTGCAAGACAGCAGCAAGCGGAGGAACAGGCCCGACAGAATAAAAGTAAACGTCGATCGGCTGCTGCACAGTTTCCAGTGAAACCTCAAGTTAATAGCAGCGACGAGGATGAGGATTCTGAGGCGGACGATAACATGGACACTGATGAATACGACGGACAGAACCTTGTGCGCGTCAATGGTGACTACGTAGAGGAGGTGGAGATCTGTGAGGACGACGAAGAAGCTCTTGCCAACTTTATGATGGGTGCACCTGAGCGTCGTAACCTTGCCGATATCATCATGGACAAGATTTTTGAGAAAGAGGCACGTGAACGTGGTGAAATGGACGACGATAGCCAAGGACCGCAGAACAGAAAATTTGATCCCAAGATCGTAGAAGTGTATACGGGTGTGGGCAAAATCCTGCAACGGTACACGTCAGGCAAGCTACCCAAGGCTTTTAAGGTCATCCCGAGCTTGAGTTACTGGGAGGACATCCTGTGGCTTACGCGTCCCGAGAAATGGTCGCCGCATGCGATGCGGGCTGCAACGCGGTTGTTTGCCTCGAACTTGAACCCCAAGATGGCCCAGCGATTCTTTAACATTTTCTTGCTGGAGCACGTGAGGCAGGACATTCATGAGAACAAACGGCTGAATTTTCACTTGTACATGGCTCTGAAGAAGGCGCTGTACAAGCCGCAGGCGTTTTTCAAAGGCATCATTATCCCGTTGTGCGAGAGCAGAAACTGCACACAGCGTGAAGCTGCGATCATTGGCAGTGTGTTGTCCAAGGTGTCAGTGCCTGTGATTCACTCGGCTGCAACGATCATGAAGCTCGCATCCATGGAGTACGCGGGTGGTAACAGTATGTTCATTAGTGTGCTGCTAAATAAGAAGTACAGTCTGCCCACTCGTGTGATCTCGGAGCTGAGTCAGCATTTCCTACGCTTCACGTCGGACACGCGCAAGCTGCCAGTTTTGTGGCACCAATCGCTATTGGTGTTTGCGCAGCGTTACAAGAATGACATTTCCAAGCAGCACAAGGAAGCCATGAAGGCGTTACTCAAGCAGCATTTCCACCACCAGATCACGTCTGAGATCCGTCGTGAACTATACAACGAGATGTAACTAGACACTGGATTGTCTGTCCGTTATATAAACTTTGCATTTGATCTTCTTATGATTACGCGGTACAGTAAAAAGGGTGTTTACAGCGCATACGATTTTCTTTGTCATCGCGGTTTCGTTTGGTGACAGGAGTTACTACTATTTGTCGTCAATAACAACTTTTCCGGTAAAATTAACGAGAAATGACGGATTTGCCAGACGTGTTCGTGCTAGAACGCTCCTTATTCCATGAGAATGGAGTATGGCTTTATCAAATCCCAGCAGGTCAAGTGACGAGTCTTGCACCTCGTGCAGACGCATGGGACCCCGAACATCCGTTCCTTACGGGCTCCGTACGTGTACTACAGAAGGGTGACGCCTGCTTCATTCAACTTTTTGAGCCTAAAGCTGCTGACTTGGAAGCTGAAACTCCCACACTCTTTGCACAGTGTCCACTGCATATTTCGCGCACCTTGGCGCTGGATGTCTACGTGCATGACTGTGTAGACTCATCACGCTACTTCATGCTGCGCATGGAGGACGAACAGAGCGGTCGACGCGCTTTCATAGGCATCGGCTTCCCGAATCGCACGACTGCTTTTAACTTCAAAGCGACACTACAGGACTACGCAAAGTACGCACTGCGTCAGCTTGAGGCGCAGCAGATTGAGGAAGCAGCTTCGACACCCGAGCAAAGTGCAGTAGGTCAAGTGTCGCCCAAGAAGCCAAACTTGAGTCTACCAGATGGAGCAACCATTCGAATAAATCTCAGGACAAGCAGCAGTGACGATGGAAAGACAGTGGCTCCATGTCAACGAAGCAACAAAAGTGGAGGAAGTGGTGCAGTAGATAATTTGGTCAAGGTTCCGTTGATTCCGCCGCCACCAGAAGACCCGCCATCCTCAGCAGCGAAGCTTGCACCACCATCAGCTGTTTCTGAACCACAGACTGCAATTGATGATGAAGACTGGGGTGACTTTACTTCTGCTTAAAGGCTGTAGTGGGGGATAACATTCAACTACTTGGACGGTTAGTATTGTCATTTCGTCCAGCCTTGCCGATTTTTGGGCGGCCGACTTTTTTTGGTGAGATCGCTGACCACGCTACCCAATTTTGACAAGGTTAAAAGAGCGTTCCTTGCGGCAGCTTGACCAATGACTTCAACTACGCTTCGTTTCGTCCAGGCTAAGACCTGGAAATTCAGAGAAGCTGTAGCAGCACGACCTAGCCATATTACATGTAGTTGATTGAATCCTTGTACCAGTCCTTAATGTCATAGAAATATCCCTTCCTTGCCTAGTCTATCATTACATCCAGGAAGTTGTCGAACGTGTTAAACAGTGACGACGCTTCTTCACTATCGCAGGCTCGTGTTAACATTAAAAGGCCTGATTCAAACAGCGAAGTTCGCTCCTCTTCCGATGACAGATTGCTTTCTTGGCGCTCAAACGTCGTTTCCGTGGGCTCCACGAGACAAGGCTCCTCGTCAGCGTAGACGTACTTGAAGCGGGATTCGTCCCATAAGTTTAGATCTCTTTCCTTACTTACGACATGAGCGACCCCATCAACCACTTCGTTCGAAATATCAGCAACAAGGACAACAGCATCTAACAGCTCATCAAATGATGGTAGTACGCTGTACGTCTCCTTCATTGTATGCATAACCATAGTGAAGCCTGTAGCTGTACTTGCCGACGCTCCAGCAAGCCGGTAATTCTCTCCATCCAGTGACTCATGCATAATATCACCGCACAGCAATAAAGCGTCGTGTGCTTCTTCACTGTTGATCGTCTCGTAGGCCCATTTCAGTAGGTAAAACGCATTCTGCGGACCCAGCAAATTCACCAGCATCTTCACCATAGTTCGTGTCTCATTCACTACATCTTCCTCAGAGAAACAGTTGTTTATAGCAGGCACCAATGCTTGCAGCATCCGATACGACGGCACTGCTATAGCATTTGACAGCACATTCACCGATGCGTTACCAGTAATATCCATGCCCTTCCACACGGCGTTTGATACCGACGGCGGAATCGCATAGCTTACAGTCCTCACGGATGCCCCCACCGCTCCAGAGATTGCCGATACCGCGAACGATGCAGTAGACACAGCTCCATGTGTGATACCTCTGGCTACGTGCACCCCCGTCCTTGCAACGCTACTAGTGGACGCCACAACTGCCGACGTCGCGAACGCATGAGATGTCGATACTGCTCCGGATAGTTTTCGCCCACTACATGTAGCGATCCGTTTAGGGATCGCCACGACAGTGGAGACGCTGCTATGCACCAGCCTTAGTGGTAAATGCAGCAACTGGGAGACTACCCCACTCTCATATTCGTTGTAATTTTCTCCCTCATTTGTCACTTTCTCGAATGACTCCATCACCTGCTCATTGCCATTATCGACACCACTCGAAGAGCTCGTACTACTCCTAAAGTCTTCATCAAAGAGATCCGTGTCTACGTAATCGTGAATTGATCTCGTCCATGATTGTGCAATACTAGCTCGCACTTGGTTTGTGAGGTGTACTGGGGCTCTGACGACCGTAGACGTGGCGTATACAGCCACTTTACCTGCAACAACGTAAGGAAATAGCACAAAACTTGCAGCAGATGACGCTATGCCAAGTGTCGTCCGCAATGCCGATCGCTGCGTTTCCTGTGAAGACTTGAGAGACGACGAATCCTGATTCGCCATGATCATTGTCGTCTGCTGCTCTATCTCTACCTTCATCTTCGTCTCATTCGTGTCGCTGGTCGTACAGACCTCGCTGTCCATGAAGGCCTCGCTGACAAGACACTCGACTTTGGTAAGCATAACTTAAAGTAATACCTTGGAATGACGGTCTCATGTTTTGAGCAGACGTTGTGACGAGGCTGCCGTGGCAGACCCTCCGCGACCAAAAAGACAAGATATCTTATTACAGTATGTTCTGTAATGTACACAACTTCAAGACACTTTAACATATCTTCGCCTTCCGCTGTAATCGATGGCACTATCCTCCTCTGTACCATTGAGGTCACGGCCTATTGCACCTAGACGCATTGCGCTGGTGCTAATCGTTTGTGTGTCTGATCTGCTGCTCACTGGTCTCGTCTTTGGCTGGGCGCCCTTACTGCTTTTGCTGCAAGAAGAAGGACAATATCATGAGCTTTGCACCGATCCAAGCGAATTCACGTGCGTAAGCCAAGAGAACCGCCTCAACCTCATATTTGCAGTTGCCTCCGTCGCGATGAACATTGGCGCGTTGCCCGTGGGTATGTTCTTGGATCGCGTGGGGCCTCGTGTGACTATTGCAGTGGCTGCCATTATCGAAGTTTCTGGCTTGTTCATGCTGGCAATATCAGACTCAAAGATGCTTGATATGTTCATACCAGCCTACGTCTTCATCGCATTTGGAGGCTGCATCACCATGATGTCATCATACCCAGCTAGCTTTCTCATTATGCGCTACCAGACTGCGATTCTTGCAGCTATCAGCTGTCTTTTCGATGGCAGTAGCGTCGTTTTCCTCGTATTGTATACTGCTCGTGAACGCTTTGGGTGGTCACGAAGAGAATTGTTTCTAGGACTTGCATCAATGGCTGCTGCTGTGTATTTGCTGCTAATTTTCCTCTGGGGACTCAATGAGAAGAGCCTGCGTCCGAAACGCAGACCTAATGTCAATGCCAATCAAGTGATCTTGTCAATGCCACAGCGAGAACAATTGCGGGTAAATGAAAAGGCTAATGACACTGCATATGGCAGCGTAGAGGTGGAGCAGAACATGCAGATCTTGTCGATGCCAACAATCGGCGATGAAACAGCGTTCCATCTCGTGGATATCGCCGTCCATAAGCAAATGAGATCGTTCGAGTTCATGTTCATCGTAGGGTATGCAGCTGTGCAGGTGTTGCGTGCGAATATCTATATCGGCACGGCCAACAAGCTGCTGGAAAACTACGGCGACCATGAGCACGGCTATCTTTACACCAAGGTGTTCAGCTTTGTATTGCCGATTGGCTTCGTGTTTGTGCCGTTGATTAACTATCTGGTGGAGACTCGCGGGCTGTCAAAGGCGCTGGTGTTTACAAATGTACTGGGTGTGCTTTACAATGTACTCGAGCTGATACCGAGCCTCCCAGTGCAATGCTTAGCCTTCTTCCTCTTTACCGCGTTTCGTGCGTTCCTGTACGCAATTATCTCGGCTTTTACCGCGAAAACCTTTGGTCTTAAAAACATGGGTTCTCTTATGGGCATCATGTTCTCGATTGGCTCTGTCATTAGTCTGGCAGAGTATCCGGCCGTCTACATCTCCAACTCACTTTTTAGCGGTGACTTGACGGTACTTAATCTGGTGTCACTGCTGTCTTGTGTACTGATGATTCCACTGACAATGTACCTGCGCAAATACGAGCACGAACACGAGAAGAAGCGCCGCGCCGAGATCGCGCTCAAGAGCGGTTTCGCGAATGAACACGGCCAGCGTGAGACATATTCGTCACTCATGGACACGCCGGCACTTGGCGTGACTTTTCTCCGCTCGCCGGGTAATGCACCGCATAATGACCCGTTCTCTCCTGAGTGAAGATGCGGACCTGGTAGCAATAGTTCTTTTTCGTAGCCGTAGAGCTAATTAGTCGTCACTGACGTCACTTGTCTAAAATGGCTACACTTACAAGCGAAGAGCTACACTCCTAAGTAAATGGCTACATATGGTTTTTAGGTTTTTTCTGCTCCCCCTTACAAAGTGGTGGTCACCAGTAGCCAAGCCAGAATTACAGGATATTGGCGATAGTACAGCAGTAGCCATGGCAAGTAGGTTCTGGGCAGGAAGTTCGTCTTCTGAGGAAGAGAGTGATGTGTCAGACGTGTCCGATGTAGAGACGTCGCAGCAGCAGCAGGCTCGTGCAGCTTCGCGTTGGGCGGTGCAGTCGGACTCAGACTCGGAAGAGGAAGTCCGTGTGGTTAAGAGCGCTAAGGATAAGGCGCTAGAGCACATGGAACGCAATTGCAACAATATCAAAAACTACATGAAGATCAATGACTGGACGCAGATCCAGACAGAGTTTGATGAGCTGACGAAACAGTTTGAACGTGCAAAGAAGACCATGACGACATTGCCCACTTTTTACCTACGGACAATGATGACACTGGAGGATTTCTTGGCTGAAAAGGTCAAAAACAAAGCTGAACAAAAGAAAATGAGCAAGGAAAATAGCAAAGCACTCATTCGCATGAAGGGCAAGCTGAAGAAACAGCTGGAGCCCATGCGCAAGCAGATTGACGACTTCCGTGCAAACCCTGTAGAATCCAGTGAGGAGGAGTCAGAGAGTTCATCAAGCGAGTCTAGTGAGGAATCCTCATCAAAGTCTTCGCCGGCTTCTTCGGATTCGGATAACAGCAGCGACGCATCGGAGTCCGAGGACGAGAGCAGTGATGATGACAAGTCTGGATCGGACGAGGACTCGGACGGATCGTGGCCGAGTAAGTCGTCCTCGTCCTCGTCGTCCTCGGAAGATGATGACAATATGCCTAAGGGTCGTGCTCGATGGTTGAAACAGACCCCTGTGGTGACCAAAGCCAAGAAGGTTAAGGGTCCTAAGATTGTCAAACAGCGTGAGACTCGTCGTGAATCTGAGGATGATGTCAAAAAGACTGTGGTGGAAGAGGAGCTTAAGCTTACTCCTAGCCAATTCGACCGCCGTGTGAAGGAGGTGGTTGCTATGCGTGGTAAAAAGGGTATGGATCTTTCGGAGCAGCTAAATTTAATGCGCAAGCTGGCCAATTACGCTCACCGCCTTGGCCCGGCCCGCCAGATTGTGGCTACCATGTACCTGGTGGGAACATCCGTGTTTGATACCTCGTCCAAGATTGACCGCGTTATGTCGGCGCGCCACTGGAAGCAGGTGCAAACCCGCATCTGCACGATCCTCAGCCTTTTGGAGAAGAATCCAGGTTTTTCACTGGCCCCACTGACGTCGGAGGACCAGGCTGACATCGTGCGTGCTGGCCGCGAGAAGGTGACTGCTGCTCAAATCGCAGCAGCTGCCGCCGAAGACGCTGAAGAGGATATGAACTTCGTAGACACGCTGCCCCAGGCCAGCAAGAAGGGCACGATTAAGGTGTCCGGTGACCTTGCTGCTTTCGTGGACCGACTCTCTGAGGAGTACACGAAGAGCCTGCAACAGACGGACCCGCACACAAGCGAGTATGTCGCTCGTTTGTACGACGAGAACCTGCTGATCGCGGTTGCCGAGCGTGTACAGATGTTTTACGCTCGAAAGAAAGACTTTGAGCGCGCTGCCACCATGGCGCTCGTGCGTGCCGAGCTTATATACTACAAGCACGACTCGGTCGCTGCGGCCCTGCATGAGGCCCAGGCGAAGCGTGCTAAGTTTGGTGACCCCGCATTTCTTCACCCTGCGTGCACGAGCACCAACGCCAGCAAGACAAGGGAGTTTGATGTAACGAAGACGCACCCTGCTTCTGCTATGGGCCAACCTACTGTAGATGTGGCCCCTGTGAACGCTGAGAAGCTGCTGCGCGAAGTGTGTCGCTTCGTGTTCCAGTACGGTGATATTCGCGCGAAGACGCGTGCTATGCTGTGTCGCATCTACCACCACGCTCTGCACGACCGTTTCCACGAGGCTCGCGACTTGCTGTTGATGTCGCACATTCAGGACAACATCACGGATGCGGACATCCCTACTCAGATTCTGTTTAACCGCATGATGGCCCAGCTTGGTCTTTGTGCCTTCCGTTGTGGCCTCATCTGGGAGGCCCACGCTTGTCTGTCTGAGATCTGCACGGGCTCGCGCACCAAGGAACTGCTTGCTCAAGGCCTTCAGTCGTTCCGCTTTGGTGAGCGTGACCTTGAGCAGGAGCGCTTGGAGCGTCGTCGCCAGGTACCGTACCACATGCACATTAACCTTGACCTGCTTGAGACGTGCCACCTGGTAAGTGCGATGCTGCTGGAGGTGCCGAACATGGTGAACTTGCGTCTGTCGGACCGCAAGCGCATGGTGTCAAAGGCCTTCCGCAAACTCCTTGAATTCCACGAGCGCCTTGTGTTTGACGGTCCTCCGGAAAATCCGCGTGACCACGTGGTCGCTGCCGCCAAGCTGCTTGCCCAGGGCTCGTGGCGTAAAAGTGCCGAACTCCTAGTCGGTCTGCCTATGTGGGACTTGTTCCCGGGTGTTAACGTGAACCAGCATGTTAGGTCTATGGTTCAGCACAAGATTCAGGTCGAGGCTCTGCGAACGTATCTACTGGCATTCAGCGCCGAATACGACTCGGTGAGCCTTGCTCGGCTTATGGCGATGTTCGAACTTGACGACAAGACGGTGCACAGCGTTGTGTCTAAGATGATGATCAATGAGGAGCTCCAGGGAGCTTGGGACCAATCCTCGCAGGCCATTATCTTGTACAAGACGGAACGCTCGACGTTGCAAACCCTGGCGGTGCAGTACTCGGACAAGCTTTCGCAAATTGTTGAAAACAACGAGCGCATGATGGACCTGCGCTCGGGTACGGGCAAAGAGGAGTGGAACAACCGCCGTGGCGGTGGCGATGGTCGTCGAGGTGGAGGTGGACGTATTGGCTTCAGTACTGGCGGTGGTCGTCGTGGTGACAATCAGAGCGGACGCGGTGGTTTTCGGCCTCGTCGTGGCGGCGGTGGTGGTGGTCGTGGTCCCCGGCAGCAACGCCAGTAGAAGGTAGCTGCTTTTTGAGGGCTGCGCAGTGGAATGCCGTATTGGTGCGGCCAAAGGTAGATTATATCCCTGGAGCCGCACTCCTTGTGTAGTTTTCTTGGCGGACAAGTGAATATCATGCCACGGGTTCGCCTCAATTACGATACTTAAGTACTTGAGTCGTCCTTTATAATGTGCTGAATTATTTGGTCTCTTTCCGTGTATGTTGCGGTCAGGGAGGTATACTTACTGAAGGATATTACCTGCAAGTGTTTGTATGCGCGTACGCAGTAGCACTGAACCATATGCCATTATTTTTATTTGATTTATCTGTTCTTCTGCAGGTTTCCGTTGTCACAAAGGACTTTAATAGTGCTGAGCTTCACGCGCTGACTCGACATGACAAAACCCGCACCAACCGACATCAAACCCTTTCGGATGAATCGTCACGAGACAGGTACATGTACTTACTCCCCAGCAGCATCCGAAGAAGAAATTGCTAGAGATCCACCATCTCCATCACGTCGAATGTTTTCGCCACGTCCTCCACGGCCGCGTCCTCGACCGCGACCACGCCCACGTCCAAAATGGCGACCTCGAGCACCTCGGCCATTCCCCTGTCCACTCTCACGGGCTTCATTGTCACCTTCGCTTTCTCCACCCTGCTTGATATCATCACCGTTAGTTGGCGTTCTCTCGCCTTTTCTTCCACGTCCAGACTTTCGGCTTGTCGAAACGGAAGGAGAGATCTCGCTTTCTACTTGCTGCTCTGCTGCACTACTAGCTACTGCATTGTAATCTCCTTCCTCAGCCGGATGTCTTCCACCTGTCTTTTTGCTCCGTCCCCCATTGTTGCCACTTTGTCTACGACCTCGTCCCTTGCCTCGTTTTCCACGAGTCGTCGGTGTATTACCCATGGCTCCATCCTCCTCATTGGGTGTCTGCGGCTCATCTTCCTCCTCAGCCTCAACCGTCTCCTCAGCTTCAGCTGCACTTATAGCTTCTCCACCACGTCCACCATTACCACCCGATCGTCTGTTATGTCCACGTGCCTTCCTAAACTCACGAGAGTCATGATACGATGGCGAACCTTCTGTTACTTGTTCCGCTGGAATAGGACTTTGATATCCTGGATCGTCTTTATCCAGCTCATCCAGTGACAATTGAATCGAAATGCTCGGGATTTTGCGCTTCGTCTCAATGCGGTCCAATCCTTCCTCCAGTGGATCGTACACGTCCACCGTTTCAATAGACGAGATACGTGTCACCATATGCAGCTTGGCCACTCGATGCTTTAATATCTCTGCCACTGTCACTGCTTTACTGATTGCATTGCCCATGGCTTTTAATACCACGCAACGTTCATTTTTTTCCTGCAAAAATTAATAAAAGCGTTTTTAAGTATAAAATCCATTTCAACGATTATACAAAAGAAATAAACTTACAACGAAAAGGCCGTGGCCATAAGAGATATAGCTACGCACTTTACCCTGCTGCGTGATGCGAATTTCATTATGCTCTACTTCCATTGTCTGTTCGTTGCGGTGAGGCTTTTCTACACGTCGGTACTTGTCCATAACTACTAACGGTTTGAGAAAGTAATGTGACGTTAGATTTGTTTTGGTAAAATGTGATGGTTGCTGATCAAGGATTTGATGGAAAAGTAAGCATATGCAGTAACATACTTTTGGCATAAAGTAGTGTAGTGAAGTAATATTGCGTTTGACTTGGCTGCAACTAAAAGGCGTATATATGGTTTGGTGTAAAGGTTGTGTCAATCTCTACTCGAAGCAAAAACTCCTAGTGTTTTTTTCTTCTCTAATAGTACAAATGTGTACCGATCTTTAGTTGAACTTCACCAGCACACCTAACACAGAATTATGACAGTGAGCTGCTCTATCACCAAAGCGATGTCGGTCGACGATGCAAACAGAAGCTGCTACATTGATCCCTTTCCTATAGCGTAGTAGATACGCATATGAAACTCATTGCTTCGAGTATACGGGTCTATGTGTATCATTTTGTTTCGTGTCATAGCTTTGAGCAAGACAAAATGATACTCATATCACCCGTAGCAAATATAGCAAATTCTCTAGTATACGAGTGTCGTGTAAACTCGTCACAATCACCCACTTCGGTGTACAAAAGAATTGATTTCTGATTTAAAAAACAAGTTAAGATTTCTATGGAAAAGTCAATGTTGACGCAAGCAACCATATCTATCTACGCCTGTTCGACGATTACGGAAGCGTCACCACCAATGAAACGTCTGGGAGACGACGCGTTGTTTGAAGCAAAAGGATCCAAAACACTCAATTTTCTGATTCATTATTAAATTTGCTACCGTCCGTGCACATTCCACTTCTTTAAATCTCAGCTACTACATTAATATAGAAAGTTGAGAAAATGTGGATCGAACGCTTTAGATTTGTGTGCAAGACGATAGTATTGACTGGAATACTCTTAACGCTATTACTGCATCCTATCGACGGAGAAAAAGAAGGTTGTCGGTGCAAACGGACCATGAAAGGCCGTGATCATTTGCATCCAAAGTTGCATTCATTGCCAACCATGTCACTAGCCGAGATCCAAGAGCTCGAGGAGCTTCCCAAGCATTTGGACTGGTGTGAACGAGGTTTTTGTGTCCCTAGTTGGAACCAACATGTTCCACAGTATTGCGGCTCTTGCTTTGCTCATGGCGCAATGTCAAGCGCGCAGGACCGTATCAAGATTCTAAATAAACGTCGCAATTACATGGGAGCAGATGTGATGCTGGGTCGTCAAAGCTTTCTTAATTGTGCACCAGGTCACGGTCTATCGGCCGGATGTGACGGCGGAGAAGCTGCTGATGTGTACGAGTTCATGCGTCGCTACGGACTGCCGGACGAGTCTTGCCTACCCTATAACGCAACGGACCACACCAAATTTCAAACGACCAACAACACGTGCCCACCACATGGATACTGCATGAAGTACGTGAGGAATTCTTGAGTTATCAGAGCTTGAGAGTACTAACTTAAGCAATTGCACAGCTGTATGTACACTCCTCAGAATAGAAAGGAGCCGCATTGCTTTCCTGTGACCAAAATGGTGCGTTACCGTGCCAAGAGCCATGGTCACTTGTCAGGTGAGCTGGCTATGATGAAGGAGATCATGACGGGCGGCCCCATCACGTGTGGCATCGCCTGTAGTGAAGGATTCACTTTTGGATACAAGGCTGGTGTTCTAGAAGACAAAACGGGTTTCATGGACATTGACCACGATGTAGAAGTCGTCGGCTGGGGCGTAGAAGATGGTGTCAAGTACTGGCACGTCCGTAATTCGTGGGGAACGTACTGGGGCATGAACGGGTTTTTCAAGATCGTGCGCGGAAAGAACAACCTTGGTATTGAGGCCGACTGTGCCTTCATGGAACCAGACATCAGTGATGAAGAGCTGGTGTGGGATGAAAAACCAATTTATGGAGGCTCTATATTCGGTATCGTTCCATTCAAGGAGACGGCAGAGAACCACCCGCTTAAAGACACGACGGAGGACATCACGCGCGGCGACAACGAGGTCTTGACAGCTTACAGTCTGCCTGATGAGATGAAATCGTTCGAGATTGACACCAAGTCTCAGCATGAAGACAAGTCGTTTACAGCGCTCGCGATCATGTTCTTTGTGTCCGGCTGCGTCTGCGCAGCACTTGCGGGGTTGTTTATTCTGAAGTCCCGCGGCCACCGCTACGTGTACCGAGCGATCTCGTAAACGAGGACTGAGAGCTGGAACTCGTCGCAGCAGTTGGCGTTCTAGACAGTTGGATATGGTAGAGAACAAAGCAGCAGCAGACTTAAATCTACTCACATAAACGATAAGTCGTCAATAGCGTAGGCTGCTGAACAGCTTGGCCGTTATTTGTGAATGTAAAAGAAAGGAACAGACGGTCTGTTACTACCAACATGTTTTCCACATCGACTGGAATTTGGGTGAACCTGAGAGATAAATCTAGTAACTCGAGATGAAGGGCACATTTGATGTGGTATTCAGCGTGTAGGACAACGCAGGCAAAAGTCTCACCCCCAGGCATGCGTGGGCATCCAGGTTGCTGCCAAAAAGCCATGGCGTAAACCATGATCGATTCTGACAATACGAATTTGTTCGCGTCATCTGCTGCTGTGTGAGTAGGGATCTGTGATAGCCACAAGCTACACGAAACATGGCAAGAGGTAGCATGACGGATTGATCCCTATCCCATTGCGCTTGTAACAAATTTGCATCGTGCGAGCATGAGTTCAACGCCATTTATTAAAAAATTGGAAAGCGTTGTTATGTTTCTAGCACGCACGCAAAGTAGCGATATGAAACTTGACTGAATAGAAGGGGTCCTTTAACATGCAGCTTTGATATCGTAGTTCGAGTGTTTACAGTACCTGCTATTTCTGTCGTCCGCTGTTCGAGTAATCGTGCGATCACAATGCAGCAGTCATGCCTCATGGTTGTAGAGTAGGCCTGAGTGGTACTGCACCACTTTGCAATCACACTACGTATAGTCTCTTGAGTCACCGAGGGAAAAACGTCCACAACCGTCCAGCATACGGCAGATTCACTCTGTCTCAATTCCGTACGGCTACTACTTGCAAGGCGTGTCACATCTCGTTTGACAACTCAAAGCATACGCAGACGTTTTAGCTAGTTTTACATTGCAATATGGGCCTCCTGCGCGTACTCGGTGCCTTCAGCCCGGACCTGGTGCGCTTCGGCAAAGGATTTGAAGTCCGCTCGGCTACTGTAGATCAGTTTCATTGGAGCTATTTGATTCGACCTGCGGTCAACCCCGAGAGTCGAGAAATTGTCGTGTTCTTGCATGGACTAGGGTCCTCGAAAGAGGCCTGGATTCGAGTGTCCAGCGGTCTTAGCAAGGACTTTCATGTCGTGATCCCCGATATTCCAGGTCACGGGAAGACGACCCCACTGGACCCGCTCATGAATTTTGCTGCTGACCGACAAACCCGACGACTGCACGAATTTTTCGAGTCAGAGCTATATCCGAACAACAAAGTGCATCTAGTCGGTACTTGCATGGGTGCCACCATTGCGGGAGTCTATGCTGCAATGCACCCGACACGGGTCAAGTCGCTCACCATGATGTGCCCCTGGGGCATATCGATGCCAACGGTGAGCGTCATGCACAGTGACATTGATGATCTGGGCAAAACGACATTGCATAGTCCAACAGAAACTTTGACAAGTGAAGTGGGCGAATGGCGTGACTGCATTTCCAGCACTGCAAACGTCGTGCACGCACCCCGTGTGCTTCGTGCACTTGCGATATCGAAGCGAGGGCACGCATGGGGAGTGCTGCAGAAGGTGGTGGTAAACATGCTTGCTCGCCCAACGATTCTAGAAGACGAACTTCACAGCATCCGAGCCAGAACTATGGTGGTATGGGGAAACCGGGACGAAGTCACGGATGTGTCGTGCTTAACCGTGATTGACGACAAGCTTAACGTCACACGGAAACACGTGCTTATACTTGACAAATGTGGGCACCTCATCCCAAGCGAGAAGCCAGTCGAGTGTATTGATGTGCTCAACAAGTTCCTAGCCGACGAAGAACTCAGTTATACATTTGCGCTTGCAAAACAAGAGTCCGTCATGGCTTCATAGACGCTTTTTATCCGTATATTTATCATTTATAAGCAGCTCGGAATCAAACATAGTCGAAGCAATAGACATGCCAAGATTTTCATTGCTAATGTTGAAAGCCCTGTACATGTACAAGATATGTAGGATTCGGCGATGAATGGAAGATGGTGGATTTTCCATTTTCTAAGCCTCTGAGGAAGACTTGACATGCCAAACCTGCTTTTTTATTGATGATTGACGCAGCGTTTTGTGTAAGGCTTTTCAGCCACCTTTGCAAGAGTGGACAAGTAGAATTGGAGCTACACCCAGAGATCGGGGAAGGACAAAAAATGCGCAAACGTTGTTGTGTTCTTGCACGGCTACAGTCCTATGAAGGAGTCGTGGGTGCGAGTCGCTTGAGGAACTGACAAGAAGCGCAAAAGTGTCATCCCACATGTACACAGTCATGGTCGTACAACTCTTGTAGATGCGTTGCAAACTAAATCAATGTCCAACCAACTCAAAGACTGGATGTGTGTTTTTAAAATAGTGATTCCCGATGGCATCTCGTTGGTTGAGAGTTATGTTAGCAGGAGTGTACGCTGGACTGTTCCCTCACGCTACTGATGATATGCCCGGCTGATATTAGGATGCCCCAAAAGAGTGACCTACTCATAATGCTGGAGGGAATCTGGACGCAACCTATGACGAGTGATTTTCCTCGAAAACTGCATTCACACTGTGCACCACAAATATATGTTGAGTGTACTGCGACGGTATATGAGCTCTCGACTGATGGCACTGCGTACGTCGTGCAGTAGAAAAGTTGCTGCTGCATGCAAATGAAAACGTAGATTTGTAAGGCGGATACTTCGCGCATGTGGTGAAAAATCGATACATGCAGTTACTTGATCGTCAAAGTCGTGATTATGGCCGACAAAATCCTGACGCCTTTAGTGATTGAAGAATAGCTGTTTGCTTGCTTGTCCCGACTAAGTGAAAGTTGACGAGAATAGTAATCGATCAGCATTAATGTATGATCATCAGACTTACAATCAGAATGCGTGACACTTTGCTGAATGAGAGCGTCCTGTTGCATTAACACATTCGACTTTAAGCAGCTAGAGCACGATGGCGTCTTTCCTCATGCCGACACTCTTGTCGTTCGCTTCAAGCGAGCGAGAGCTTCGGCTTTCTATTTAAATCTCGAGCATTGCAAGTGCAATTGGAGCTACCTCAGCGCTCAATCAAGGCAAAATCTGGACACATCGTGTCTTTATCCACTCGGTCAACCTCTAGAACTTCTAAAAGAGCTTTACGATGGGGTGAATGGCCACGTCTAGCGAAACCAGCAGCGCCTTCGTGGCGGAACGGTTATTTATGTCCGGGGAAGCCAGGAAGGCTTTAATGATCGTACCTGGTAAACGAAAAAGACTTTCGTGGTGAGGAGATGAGTCGATGCTAACGAAGTCACGAAGACTGCAAAGATGATGCGGAGGACCCTTAAAGGGCACGCTTAGTGAACCATGGAGTCTAAGATGACCAAATTTGCCAGGGGCGGCCGTGGTGATAGCCATTCTTGTCGTGGTAATTAACCTTTCCACTGCGCCGACTCGAAAAGTTCAAGTCATGCATCGTGCCAGGTTCTTTGAACCTTAGTAAGCAATCCAAAATGCTCCGCCCATTCGCCGCTTGCTTGGTAAAACTACATCGATCAAAGTACTCAGCCATCTTCGACTTGCACGTGTTCCGAACGTTGGACCCATTCTCACATCCATCACACACCAGAAACATACGCACAAAACCTCGGCCGTTTGTGCGTGGGCATGCGCAACGGTTCAGTGGTCTTAACAAAGCAGTTCGTAGCTCATCCACTTGCCACTGTTCTCATCGTCTTCGCAAAGATCAAAGTCCAACTGATCCAGCGACTTGTAACGAACACCAATGAGCAATACCTTCTCGCATTCGTCGTCATCTGCGACGGCTGCGAAAAGACTCTTGCTGGGATTCAACCTCTCAAAGCTTCAGATTGTAACTAGCAGATACTAGGCAGCAGAGCTGCGTCTGCACTGGATTGACTGCGCGACAACTGGTCGATGTTACCAGGATTGTCACTCGTTCCAGCTTCTCATCGCCCATGTAGTTGGCTAGTTCCTTCACATTCGCTCACGCTGACGATCGTCACCTCGTCACCGTCTAAATTCGTGTCATGCATCGAGAACGAGTACTCACCTACCAGCAGCGTAATTGCAGCGGCTCGTAGTGTATACAGCGTCATAGCGAAATCCTACATAGCAAGGCGGTGTATAGCTGTTGATCATAATAGAGCCGCCGTGTATGGTTGTTAGTCATAATAGAGGCCGCCGTTTTCAGATAACCTCTCGTACAGCCTATTCAATGTTATTTATGCGTCATGGGGTTCTCTTTCGAAGAAAAATTTATTCCTAGAAAAACAGTAAAGAAGAAAGTTTTTCCAACACCTCGACACTTTGAATTGGTTATGACGACGCTCAAGATCTTGTGGAAAGAAAAGCAGGACATGCGTCGTGTACAGATCATAGCGGTCCACCAGACGCTCAAGTCATGTGATGGCCGCTCTTCTGCTAACGCCAACGCGTTGAGCTTCCATGATCTCCACGATTACGTTCTCTTGATCTTTCCAGAGCTTAAGGGGTGTGAGCTGCTTCTTTACTATATGGACGACGACGATGAACAGGTTCGTATCTCTAACGATGCAGAACTGGACGAGGCCTTTCGACTCATGCGCGAGTTGGCCGTGGCGGCTGGCAAGAACGCGGATAACGCTGTGTGCAAGATCATTGTCGTGGTCAAGTCGCTACAGGCCTCGGCCAGCGTAGGCATGGATGCTGTGGACAATGTACTACCTTGTAATGCAGAGGAGATGCTGGCTATACAGCAGAAAAAGAAAATGTCGAATCTGTTTGTGGATCTTGTCAAGGTAGTCGAGAAATGGAGTGCTAGTAGTGCTGAGCATCAGATGTTGAAGAGAGATTTAGTGTCATTGTTGCACGAGCCTGGATGCCAAGAGGCATTAATGGAAGTTATGGCCAATTCAAAGGTAAAAGGAGATTATGATGCTGTGAAGTAGGTGAATTTGCGGTTACTAATAACCTTTTGTGCTAGTTTGTAACGCAGTTTCAGTCGGTAACAGAAGAGTTTAAGAAGAATGGCAATTTCATGGAGTGTATGGTCGCTGTGGCTGGCACTGGAGGCGTGGAAGAAGTCGCCAAGATTTTGCTGGCCAAGTGTCCCAATGCCCGCGTGCAGGTAGAGCGAGTACTGCAGCAAGTGCAGTATAGTCACAACGCACAGCTTATGTCGGCCAGTGACTTCTTTGAGACGATAAACATTGAAGAGACCAAGCAGGATTTGGGCCCGGTTGTAGCGGTGTTTGAAGGTGATGTCACATGCCCAGACGGCACAGTACTGGCGCCGGGAGAGGCCTTTGACAAGGTGTGGAAGTTACGCAACGGTGGCCCCAATAAGTGGCCTGTTGGAGCTGTCCTTTCGTGCGTCGGTGGCGACAAAATGCAAGCGCCTGAGAGTGTACTGATTCCATCGGTTTTACCCGGCAAGTCTATTGATGTATCGCTGCGCATGGTAGCACCGGCAAAGGCTGGTCGGTACACTGGTTACTGGCGTTTGAGCACTGCTGACGGCAATCGATTTGGGCAGCGCCTATGGGTGGATATTAACGTGATGGACCCGGAAGAACCTTCCACCATTCTTACCGGCACGACGGGGATTCGTGTTGATGCTCCTGTAGCGGCCGTTGTTTTAGCGGACGACAAAACATCGACCGTCTCGGCACCTGCTACAGTGGTGACGGCCGAGCCTAAGGAGGATCCTCGATGGTCAAACGAGCTTCAGGTTCTGGCTGACATGGGCTTTACGGACGATACGCGCAACGTGGCTCTTCTGTCACAATACAACGGCGACATGGAAGCTGTCATTACAGGACTGCTGAGCTCTGCTTGATTTCTGCAATAAGCCATCTACTTGTGCCGACCAACAAACTGAAGTTGTGGTGGCTAGTTGATGGCTCTCTCAAGAGTGCATGTGAAAGATTGTCTTTTTTTCACACTCCAGCAAATTTGCATTGCATTGAACCTCAATATTTTTTCTTCATCGTTCTCTGTTGACACTACCGACTGAGGTAAAATTCGTCTTCACAAGCTCAGCAAGCTGTAGCACAAGTTCTTTTTGCTGCATCGTCACGATTTGTAAGTGTGATAAGCTTCTCGCGCCACAAACTATATGTCATCCAGTTCCCCGTCAGACACATGCGGTCAAAGGCCAGTATACGAAGTGTATAGCGTATACATGTACTAACATCCATCATCTCCAAGACGCAATTAACCGCATGCAATGAGAATGTCTTGAAGGACGTTTTCAAGCGACCAATCACAGCGTTCATGGGTGAACTATTGTAGACAACGCAACGAACGTTTCTAATTTAATATTTATAAAGAAGTGCTCTGATTGGCTGAAAAAGAAAAGAATCGAAATTTTTCGTAGAATAGACATATTAGAATTAAGTGTTACATATGGCGGATGAAAAGACGCGTAACATTATGGATAAAGATGATGAGACGCAAGACGTTAAACATGGTGAATACAATATAATGAAGGAAGAAGATGTCGCTCAAGATACTCATTTGGATGCTGTGAGTAAAAAATACGACTCCATCTCGTTTGTTTTTCGTATTGTTAGAAGTAAAATAACGCTTAAAATTTGGTGTTGTGATTGTTACTTAGTGCTGCATCTGCCAGGACTTAGTGGACGTTTGGAAGCAAGGATTCTTATCCAATTGTGACCATTGTTTTCACTATGACTGTATTGTAACCTGGTCGAAAGTCACTAACCTCTGTCCTTTATGCAAGACCAAGTTTAATGCTGTCACTCGACAGGACGCTCAAGGTGTTGAAGTGCATCGAACAGTCATTAAGGACACTAATCAAGTGTATCGACCCGACCCATTGGATCATGACATTGCTGCACAATTGCAGCTTGTTAACGAAATACGATGTGAATTTTGTGGCTCTGGAGACGACGAGCACGTGCTGCTACTATGCGAAGCACTGGGCTGTGGAGTCGCCAATCATACTTACTGTATTGGCTTACGCACAGTCCCAAACACGTCGTGGTATTGCTCAAGACATGCAACAACCCAGCAAAGAGCTAGTGATGCTATTGAACGACCAGCGACGACGGTGACTACTCGCCGTCGGACGCGAAGACTAGCGACTTTGATGTCGAATGTACTTCGTGGACGTGGCGGATCAACAGCAACGAGGTCTCATCGACAAGGAACTCCTGGTTTTGTTGCAGTGGAAGAAGTGGAAGACCGAAGACCGATGCGAGGGGTTGCTGCATCCTATGCGTTGAGGATGTCAAGAGAATTGATGCGGGTGCAACAACGAGCTGATGCTATGTTCGCACGCGGAGATTTGACACATCCCTCGTTGTATGGACAAGGAGAGAGTTCTTCGTTGAGCAATACTCGATATGGAACACGATCGACTGTAGCTGCATCGGGGCCCTCATCGATTGATCAGATGTGGGACGACCAAAACCGAAGTAGACAAGAACTCGCGGCAGCAGCAATCGCAGCGCATGATCATGGCTTTATCGATGATACTATCAGCAACACGCGACCAGATCAGCGTATGAACAGAGTATCCAATACATTTGCTCCGGAATACTGTGCGCTTGCAAAGCTGATGCACGATGCTGTAAGTAGTGATAATTACGCATCATCCGTGGCATTGTTGATACCTAAGACGGCCAAGCTGAGGTTAGTATCACGTGTTAAAACGTTTTTTGGCCGGCTCAACCAAAAGGAAAAGGCTGCTGCAGTTGAATTGGGTAGCCTGTCAGTCCTGCATCATTGGATTCAGCAGGATGGCGGCAATACCGCATCGTCCCCCAATCTACAGGTACTTGATGCCGTGCTAGCCATCTTGGAGACGCTGCCCGTGCGAAAAGAAGATCTTGTGGAGGTAAGTACTCATTCTTGACGTTTATTGAAAGATGTCCGCTTACTGAGAGAAATGGCTTTAGGAGGAAGGGTTGCAAGCCACACTAGCCAAGCTTTCAGAGCTTTCAGAAGTTAACATCGAAATACGCCAGCGAATTATTAAACTGAGTGAAAAATGGTGCGAGCTGAATCCTCCAGCACCACGTGAGTCTCTACAACCTCAAGTAAGGCAACACATATCATCTCCTGTTAGTGCGGCGCAGGATTTGCCAGTCATTACTGCGTTCACCTCTCCAACGCGGCCAGTACGGCCAAAAGGCGAATGGAAGCGAAAGCGTGATGCGTACGTATGGACGCATTAACTTACTGTTATAAGCGGGATGCTAACGTTACATTTTGTATGAGCAGCTGGTCCGATGCTGTTGTCGAGTACGTGAAAGCCAAGCTGTACCCACTTTACAAACAGAACAATGGCGTTGGAAACTTGACACGAGAACGATTTAAGTCGATCGTAAAAGTGGTAGCAGACCTATTTTCGCAAGAAGCATCGTCCATGCAGTCTGCGGTACTACTTCCTTCCGGCAAGCTTTCCAATCTTGCGAAATCACGTGTCAAGAAACTCATCGACAGAGTGTATAAGGAATCATTCTGCAAAGCTTCTGCTCCACACTCGGCTGCTCCTTTGCTAGGGCGCGCAGCAATTCCTGCATTAACGTACTCAGCAGTGCCCGCCATAAAGCACCAACGTAGAATTTAAAGCACTTTTCTAGACACAAACAGAAGTTGGTGCTTATTTTTTATATCTTTCCATCAGGAAGAAAGAAGATCCGGCACCTTAGTCACAAACACACACATAGTAAATATTGAAGGGCAAGCCGTTTGAAGTGGCTCAAGATACCAATATCTCATGACATGTACATTCCTAGATTTGCCGAGTCATTCTGCGAAATCCCAGCGTCATTCAATCTCTTCTTCTGTATCATCTGCTCCACCATCCACTCCGTCTTCATCTTTTGGGTAGTAATTTCGGCTTGTTGCAGTTGTTCTTGTGCTAATGCAAGCTGCACCGCATGCAACTCGCTATTCCGCTGTTCACGTTTAGTTTCCAAGTCCAAGCGTCGGCTTTCAATCTCTAAACGTGCTGCCTGAACACTCAGCTTTCGTCTCAAATACTCTGTCGCTCCTTTTCCACTCTGTTGTGCCGTCGATTCAGTCCTCCTGATCTCCGACGCTACCGCATTATTTACGTTCTCACTTCCATCACTCTCTTGTCCTACTCCCTCCATCCTTTGTCTTTTCGTAACCTGAAAACTTGCTACTTCAGACTCAAGAGCCGGAGCAACATTAGCTGAAATGAGAACTGAAGTCTGCGTCTGAACTTGAGATGAAGTTTCAACTGGAGGTGCAGATGCCGGAAGGGTCAAACGTGCGGTCTGCATCACTCCGCAATTGGTAAAAATATGAGGCTGTTGCTGCTCTCCATTATCAACATAGATCTGTTCCTGCTGCTGTTGCTGATGTGGTCGTGATTGATGATCTAGATACAACTCCTGCTGCTCTTGTGCGTGTCCCTCATTCGACTCATAAATATCCTGCTGTTGGGTTCCGCTAGTAACATACATGTTCTGTAGTTCTGAGGTTGAGGTGGGAACGAACATAACAGGTTCATTCAGTGTCGTTTGCTGGGTCGGTGTAATGTTTTCGATCGGTGTCTGGACCTGAGTCTTCGTCTGTTCCTGATCATTTTGAAGCAATACGCGCACAAATGCGTCTTTGTTGCGTTTGCGCGGGTTCGTCTTCAGTTGCCGCTGCGTAATCTCGCGCTTGAGCTGCATGAGCGACCAGTACTTGTATTCATCCGAGCGAGGTGGAGAACAGCGCTCGTCACCCTTGGCAGACCACATTTGGGACACCTTTGACCCGCTCCATGGAGACGATGGAGCGTTCATTTTGTGAACATGATATTAGGGAGGCGTTATTTATCAACCACCTTTTTGGTAATTATTAACCACCCCAAATATATAACAATCTGATTGGTCGGAATAAGTAGTACCCACTCCTAAAATAGGCAATTTTCTAAACATAAACGAATATTTGCAGCTTGCCTATGCTTCCCTGGAAAAGGAAGAGCCGTAATTAATACCATGCATAGCAATAAGGTGATGTTTTTATTGTAGTCTTTGCACAAAAGAACCGGCAATCAGACAGACGATGATAATAAAGCTTAAATTCGCGTCTACGCTCAAGAGGCTCGTTTGTGTATCACACCCAAGTGAAAGGTTAAAAGTAATTATGGATACTTTTAGACCAAACATTAAGTATATTTCTATGTTTGCGTGTAACTAGATGCCCTGTTACAAAAGGTGATCCACCCTCGTGAATGTAATATCCATTTATGGAATCACATCGGAAGGGATGACGCTAGTTGAAGCTAGGCATCGCGACGTCTCAGAAGGACGTCATTCGCAAACTTAAATCTAGATTTAAGTTCGTTCGACAGGATACGCTTCTAAAGAGTCGCGTATCCGATCTATATACATATATAGCCAATCAGTAGTTAAGTTTATATTTAATTATAATTCATTAAATATAGCTCAGTCTAGAATTTGCTAAATCGAAAGCACCGCGCACGAGAAGCTGAAAAAGCTTCTGCGTGATGCCGGTGCCTTCTTGTTTAGAAGTTCGTTGCACTCTCTCTTAAGCGAGAGGTAACTGGTGGTACGACTGCTTAAGCAGTCGACCAACCGCATAACCACCCTCGCACGCGAAGGTAAGACGGCCTAACCGCTTCCTCGCTTGTGCTGAAGGTGTGTGCTAGTAGCACGAGGCAACTTCGTAGAAGTGCGCGTCTACACTTGGTATCACTAGTAGTCCTTCCCACGACCCGTCTCTCTGAGCGTGCGTGTGGTTGACATGCTCCTTAATATGGACTGGAGTGACTTCCCTCACCTCTCCTAGCATCATAGGGAGTTGGCAGAGCATATGGCGCACGGACTTGGTGCACAAGCTTTGGTCAACCTCTTGCATTGTCCTCCTGAGCAACATGTTGCTCAGTTGGAGCAATTTGAGACGTTTGTGCTCGGACAGCGTAGAAACGCGTCCGAGGTAAACAGCCAAGCCACCGCTGAGTCTATCATTAAGACACAGGATGAGCTTAGGCTTGAGCAGGCACGTAATAAGGCGCTCAACAGAACTGTTGAGACGCTCTCTGCCCGACCTACTCAACCGAGGCCCATTCGGATGGACCCTCCGAAGTTCGATGGAACTAGCCCTCACACGATTGTTCACTGGCTATTAGCAGTGAAGCAATGTGGAGTGGCGCAGCTCATCGAAGACGACACCAGAATGGTGTCGTATGCCATGTCCAACTTGCGTGGCAAAGCGTCAGAGTGGGCATACTCATGCTGATGGCTAATGCTGATGCATTTCCATCATGGGCGATCTTTAAGACAAAGATTTGCGCCATGTATCAGCCGCCTAGCAACGAAGTGTTGCTTATGGCGCGCTTCTTTGGAGCACGACAGGCGAAACGCTCTCTGCAAGAGTATGTGCAGGAGATGCGTTCGCTGTCTGCGTCCATTAATGGGGAACCGATACCAGAGCGTATCAAGGTGGCCACGTTCATGGATGGACTTAGGCACGGCCCATCGCGTCAGGCCCTTTTCAAAAAGGTGCCAGCGACGATGTAAGAGGCAATTGACATTGCCTTAGTTGAGTAGCAATCATACAACAGCGCCTTAGCGACAGCCTATTACAGGCCGTCGACCGAAAGGTCGGATGCCACTCTAATTTAGTTAGGCATGCAGATGTGATCTGCTACAAGTGCGGAAAGCGAGGCCGCACGGGTTCAGTACCTGCCCAAGATGGGTCGGGAAATGCGGGAGCGCAGTAGGGGCGGGATGCCCTACTGTCGCGGACTCTGAAGCTACCCCTAAGTTCAGAGTGATCGAACAAATGGGTAGCATAGTCCCTGGGGTTCCGAAAGGTCGGACCTCAACCCTTTTGGTCTATAGCGCTAGAGTACGAGGCTATGACCAAGTGATGACCCTTCTCGTTGATTCGGGTGCATCACAAAACTTTTTGAAACTCGCGGCTCTGAAAAAGAGTCCGGAGAGTTATGAGTCGCTTTGCCAGGATGGCAAGCGAGAAGAGGCGATCGTTCGTTTAGCGAAAGGCGCGCTCGTTAAATTCGGAGAGAGTTCAAGTTGAACTCGCCTTCAGTTTCAGTGACTTCTCTTGTAAAGAGAAGTTCACAGTGCTTGGTATGGAGAGCCCGTATGACCTCATCCTAGGCATGCCTTGGTTGGCTAAACACCAACTATGGATAGACTGGCGTATACGCACAGTCGCTAGCTCTACGCAGGACACCGGAAAGGATGTGCTCCTGCGAGAGGCTTATGTGGCTGATGCTGTGTCCAACACAGTCGAGGGTGCGATGACGGTATGTCAATCGACACCAGGAACTACCCAGCTCGAAAGAAGTGGTGTAGTTGGGAGTGCACTGGCGGAAAGCCAGGTGACACCAATTCCTACCCAGGTCGAAAAGACTAGTGTAGTGAATGGGGCGACGACAGGTAGTCATGCGTCCATTAGTCCTGCACAGAGCCGAGAGCCTGTGGCATATGATAGTGGGCTGAAAGGAAGTCCAGCACCACAAGAACCGAGCACAGAGCCATGAGCCTGGTGCATTTGGAAGGAGTGCGTTGGCTAATACAGCAACGACACCTTCTTCCAGGTCAAAGGTCGTGGTGACTCGAACATTGAGCACCAGACGTATTAAGACGATCAAGGGCACGTCGAAACGAGTGACCCTTGGATCAGTCTCGGTCAAAGAGGACGGACCTACGAACGAGTTGTTCGAGGCCGTCGAAGACAAAATGTCGGAGGCATCCTCAGTTTAGGTGCTTCAGCTTGTCTTGGCATCTGCCGAGGAGATAGTAAATCTCTCGGAGATGACGTGGGATCTGTTCCTGTCCGAACTAAAGGAAAGAAAGATCCACGAGATAGTCGCACCAGTTACAGAAGAGAACGTGGTGGACTGTTTCTCCTCATCCACAATGGATGAGAGCGTCTTGGAGACCGACAAGAAGAAACGGTTTTCTGCTCAAGGCTGGGATGCCTTGAAGGACAGCCCGTTCTATGATGTTCTGTGAAAACACCGTGATGTGTTTCCAGCAGAAGTGCCGAGCCGCTTATCGGCCGATAGGGGCATCAGGCACGAGATTGGCCTGGAGCCTGGCACCAAGTATTGTGTGACCAGGCAATGGCCGTTGCCGAAGGAACAAGTCGATTACATCGATGCGTTCTTCGACAAGCGAGCCAAGGCGGGACATGTACGTGAGAGCAAGTCGCCTCACTGCAGCGCGACCTTCTGTGTGCGTAAAGCAACAGGTGGATGGCGCGTGGTTCATGCTTATAATAAGCTGAACACGGCCACCATTCCAGCTCAAACGCCTACCCCGCGGAAAGATATCTTGTTGAATTCCATGGGAAAGTCAACTATCTTTTCCGCGTTGTATCTGAAGGATGGCTACTATCAGGTTCTCATGAGAGATACTGATGTAGCCAAAACGGCAGTAAGCATACCAAGCGGTATGCTGTAGGAGTGGCTTGTGATGCCACAAGAGTTGAAAAATGCTCCGGCAACATTCAGCCGAGTGGTGGCTCACGTGATGCGTCAGCACCGTGCCTACGCGCCCCATTACTTTGACGATGTATTCGTGCATAGTAGGGCGGAAGACGGTCTGAGCGCAATAGAGTCGCACAAGCGTCATTTAGACGCTGTGTTGCAGACTCTGGGTGACGCCCAATCATACGTGAAGTTGCAAAAGTGTGTAGTAGGGGTCCCCGAGATACCTGTACTGGGATGCATCGTAGGTGCACATGGTGTACGAGCAGACCCAGAAAAGGTAAAGGCTGTAAAGGAATGGCCAGTCCCACGTAATGTGAAGGATCTGCGCCAATTCCTTGGGCTCGCTAATTACTTGCATAAGTACAGCAAGAATTATGCGGAGCAGACTAAGCCATTGTCTGATCTTTTGAAAAAGGATACAGAATGGACTTGGTCAAAGGAGAAAGTAGATGCGTTCACAACAGTGAAGCAATCTCTTGTAGAGGCACCGGTCTTGGCATTGCCAGACGTGGATAAGCCCTTTATCGTCGTCTGCGATGCAAGCAATTTTGCAATCGGCAGCGCGCTCATGAAGAAGGATGACAACGGCGTTGACCGTGTCATATCGTATCAGTCTCGGCTTTTAAAAGCTGCAGAGCTGAATTACCCTGTGCATAACAAGGAGCTACTTTCAATTAAGTATGCCCTGGTAAAGTCTCGGGTGCACCTCTTGGGCACCGAACCTTTTGTGGTTTATACGGATCACGCATCACTGCGGACCGCAATAAATTCACCGCACCTCTCGCCGAGAATGGCGATATGGATAACATTCTTCTTTGAATTTAATTTCAAAGTTGAATATAAGCCGGGTCAGTCGAATGTCTTGGCTGACGCGTTATCGCGCAGACCAGACTTCGAGGCAAGACACCAGGATAGTGTGTCTCGTGCGAAAGCACAAGTTGAGTCGTCAACATTGGCAGCCATGAAGGCCTACCATGTGACGAGCTCAATGGCTTCCGATATTAAGGGGTGTTACAGTCAGGACGAACATTGTCGCCTGCTGCTAGATCATTTTGGTGGACGAAAGGTTACCCTTCCGTCGCACCTCAAAGCGAAACTGAATCGCTTTAGTTACAGTGATGGCCTGTTATGGCATCAATTGTCACCCTGTGATCCCTTGAGAATCTATGTCCCTCATGACACAGATCTCAAGCTGATAATACTTCACGAGTGCCATGATGCGCCATCTAGTGGGCGTCTAGGCCGTGAAAAGACATTCTTACGAGTGTCAGAGGAATTTTGGTGGCCCCACCTATATCGGTGGGTGGCCAACTATATTCTCTTTTGCGAAGAGTGTCAGCGCATTAAGCCTGCACCTTCGAACAGTGCGCCACTGAAGCCACTGCCGATTCCAACTAAATGTTGGAAGTCGGTCAGTTTGGACTTCATGTTTGGCTTACCGCCTGATCATATAGGCAGGACGGGGCTCGTCGTCTTTGAAGAAAGACTGAGCAAGATGGTGCATTTGGCACCATGTAGCACCAAGATCTCAAGAAAAGAGGCTGCCCTCTTGTTTCTGGATCACGTGTATCGACTACACGGGATGCCCGAGTCCATAGTATCGGACCGAAATCCACGTTTTACGTCGGGTTTTTGGCGACATGTGTTTGAGCTGCTGGGTAGCAAGCTCCACATGTCAACCGCTGATCATCCCCAGACCGATGGCCAAACCGAACGGGCCAATCAAGTCGTGGCGGATGTGTTGCGTACAGTAGCGACTCCCAAAGAATGGAGCAAGCAATTGCCATTCGTGGAGCTCGCTATTAACAACAGTGTTCACGCCAGTACGGGTGAAACACCGTTTTACATTAACGGACTGCGTCATCCTCGAACGCCAGTCTCGTTTGTACGCAGCCCGAGTCTTAGTGGGGGAGGGCCCCTCATTTCGCTCGGTGCGAATACCAAAGAGGGCCAAGGTTTCCCTAGTGACACCGCTAATTTAGCAGTGGTCACGTCACCAATAGGTGTCACAGAGGAGTAACGGCAAGAAATGCCAGCGCTCCTCGATGATGACACTATAGTGTTATCAACAGCGTCGACCCATGAACGACCTCTTGGAGGCGTCATCGGCGAGCTGGATGCTAAAAGCGTGAGCGAAGCTCAGCGCTTTGTGGATGAGCGATTAGCCATCACACGTAAAGGCCGTGACGCGATGGCAAGCGCAAAGGACAAGCAATAACAATACGCGGACCAGCATGGTCGCAAAAACAATGAACACTTTAGTGTGGGGGACAAAGTGCTATTAAGTACTGCTACCCTACCTAACCATGCAATCTCTGTACTACCTGGTGGTACTACTAATCTATTGCCCCGGTTCATTGGGCCCTTTACAATGGTTGAAGAAGTTGGAGACCTAAATTATAGGCTCACTCTCCCACCGTATATGAAGACGCACCCCGTATTTTACGTGGGTCGTCTGAAACAATATGTTGATTCAGAAGAGATCACATATCCGCATCGGTCTAACGAGACCGATGGTGACGTCGACTGTGAGTCGAGCGTCGCGGCCGATCAGGCGACGAGGAAGCCGAGAGGCTCCCCGCATACGAACGAGACGATAGAGGACTCGGTGATCGAGGAGGACTCCGCGCTTGACGCGGTTCTCTCATCACCAGTCGCTCTAAGATGTCCAAACGGATCTTCAAGCGGTCATACCCCTGACGATACCTCGCCCTCACATCGCGCAGATCCACAGTCAGTCGCGAGACTTGACTCTTGAGATCTTTCACCTGCCTCTTCAGCGCAGCAGACTCAGCCTGCGACTGAACAGAAGCAGGGTGGGCAGCCACGAGTAGGTGGGCGTAATCGCCACTCCTATCGAGAGCCACCTGTGTTGGTGGACACGGAAGGGAATACGCGCTTTCTTGTTGGAAGGCTGTTGAACCACCGGTTTGTGAAGCGAAAGCTCCAAATCCTGGTCCAGTGGAAGGGTTACACAACGAGCTTCGACTCCTGGGAGCCTGTTGACGCTTTGCGCGTCGACTTGCCTGGGCTGTTGGCTGCTTATGTGAAGCAGCACCAGCTGTCGTCTTTCTGCTAGGTCCGGATGGACTAGCAGAAGAAGCGTGGCGAGAATTAATTGGGGGTCGCTTACCGCCCATAATTTCATGCGCACGCTTCATAGTCGTCGGCTGTTTCGTTAGAACGCAGCACGACTGGAATTGGGAAAGCACGACAAAGTGCTTTGCCCTGCTTATTCCACAAAGGAAAAACGCTATAAAACTTATGAGCGTCAATATTTGCACGCTGCAAAAGCGCTGCACTAGACCCATCCGAGTTCATCCACTCAGATGGAGGTGGCATTGGTGGCAAGCCATCACTCACGTAGCCGTCCTCGCGACGGCGGGCTAGTGAGGCCAAAGGTTTACTTGGTGGAGCTTTAAGCTCACACTCACCTGAGTCTGACTCTCCATCATGGATTGTCAAGACATCAGCATGAGGAGTCACATATGATTGAGTCGCGACTACTCCTTTCGAAGCAGCGCGTTTAGTCTTAGTCGCTGCTCTCGTAGGCGCAGGCGACGAGGCCTTACCTTCGCTTTTAGGAAGGATCGACGCTCCCTTAAGGACGGGTGCCTCAAATGATGGGAACATATGTCCTATCAACGCGATTTGCTCATCTCCACTTTGGGGTAATGACAATGGCGTAGTCTTATTGTAGTCTACAATGAAAGATGGATCTTCATCCACATTATCGTGAGATGGAAGATTCACCTCAGTGCCTGAAGCACTTTGAGACGGCTGCGATAAATCGCTGCGCGTGCGCTTAGTGCTGGACTGCATGGGTGCCTTTGCAGGCGACCCATCAGCCTTACCACGTTTTGGTGGCATGAGAGTTGAGTAGACTAAAGCGGCGCGTTTATGACAGCTCGCAAGTCTCTCTGTCTCCTAGGCAATGTTTTACAAAATGTAAAAATCGTTCTAAAACGAGGGATGGTGTAACAGGGCATCTAGTTACACGCAAACATAGAAATATACTTAATGTTTGGTCTAAAAGTATCCATGATTACTTTTGACCTGCGATACACAAACGTGATCCACCCTCGTGAATGTGATATCCATTTATGGATTCACATGGGAAGGGATGACGCTAGTTGAAGCTAGGCATCGCGACGTCTCAGAAGGACGTCATTCGCAAACTTAAATCTAGATTTAAGTTCGTTCGACAGGATACGCTTCTAAAGAGTCGCGTATCCGATCTATATACATATATAGCCAATCAGTAGTTAAGTTTATATTTAATTATAATTCATTAAATATAGCTCAGTCTAGAATTTGCTAAATCGAAAGCACCGCGCACGAGAAGCTGAAAAAGCTTCTACGTGACGTCGGTGCCTTCTTGTTTAGAAGTTCGTTGCACTCTCGCTTAAGCGAGAGGTAACTGGTGGTACGACTGCTTAAGCAGTCGACCAACCGCATAACCACCCTCGCACGCGAAGGTAAGACGGTCTAACCGCTCCCTCGCTTGTGCTAAGGGTGTGTGCTAGTAGCACGAGGCAACTTCGTAGAAGTGCCCGTCTACACCATTTGGAATGGCAGAATTCAGCTTGCTTGAATGCTTAAAGTTGTAGGTAAAGTATCTAGCCTCTTTTGATATGTAGGGAATGTCGATGCTTGACAGTATTCGATTCATGCCAGTAGATAATACCATGTGCTATCCAATTAAAGTGTATAAACAACAATATCTAATATCATCATCGCAAACGGCACAACCGGTTTATCCCTTATACATACGAAGGTCAAAATGCCCGAGCCCTGTCGCAATGAAGCACAAGCAGTGCCAGAGCACCAGCACCAAGTAGCACCAGCACCAGCAGTATAACCATTAGCTGTTGAAGCTCGCATATGACTTAAGCAAGCAGTAACCACAGCAAGGTGCGAGTAATTACTATAGCAAGCGGTTATAGGCGTGCAGGACGCAGCGGTTTCGATCCTATGTAAAGGCGAAGCGACCTAATGGCAGGGCGACTCTTGAGTAACCATGGGTAAGGATTGATGGTAACGGACTTAAGGGAGTAATAGGATGGTAAACTCACATACATTTAGTTTCTCATTTCTTTTGTAGACGGGCACTTCTACGAAGTTGCCTCGTGCTACTAGCACACACCCTTAGCACAAGCGAGGGAGCGGTTAGACCGTCTTACCTTCGCGTGCGAGGGTGGTTATGTGGTTGGTCGACTGCTTAAGCAGTCGTACCACCAGTTACCTCTCGCTTAAGCGAGAGTGCAACGAACTTCTAAACAAGAAGGCACCGACGTCACGTAGAAGCTTTTTCAGCTTCTCGTGCGCGGTGCTTTCGATTTAGCAAATTCTAGACTGAGCTATATTTAATGAATTATAATTAAATATAAACTTAACTACTGATTGGCTATATATGTATATAGATCGGATACGCGACTCTTTAGAAGCGTATCCTGTCGAACGAACTTAAATCTAGATTTAAGTTTGCGAATGACGTCCTTCTGAGACGTCGCGATGCCTAGCTTCAACTAGCGTCATCCCTTCCCATGTGAATCCATAAATGGATATCACATTCACGAGGGTGGATCACGTTTGTGTATCGCCCCAGGTCAAAAGTAATCATGGATACTTTTAGACCAAACATTAAGTATATTTCTACGTTTGCGTGTAACTAGATGTCATGTCACATCCTCTACTTAACAAGCTCTAATTTGCACCAGGTTATGAGCCCAATAGGCCCCGAGATCTCCTCGCGACGACATTTACCAGACAACGTCACTTCGGAAATGAAGCCAGAGGGCTAGGTGAGGCGTCGGATGCATACGAGTAGTTCGAGGAGGCGAGCTCGATATCTGGCGCGTCAGACGCTTACGCAAGGAGCGTACGGAATTTTGATGCAAGCTTGGAGCGGATAGATATAATTGAGGGACTCTTAAAAAAAATGGCACAAAGTTTGCGACGCAGCAGATGCATATGCAAGTACGCTTGCAGCATATTGCGAAAGCACAACACGCACCGGCGCAACAGCCAAATATGTTTGCCACGTCCTCCGAGCATGGCTCCGGTACTTTTGGAGACTCCATGAAGGCGCGTGGTAATAGCATGCAAATGGGGTCGCTTGATGAATTAATGGAGAGAAAGACAACAGCGGCAGGAGCGCCGCGTGCAGTTCCAAACTCATTTCAATCGCCGCCATCTTACCCTGTACAATTGCCAATCTTTTAGCAGCAGGCACGACCATTCTACTCACCGCAGGACTTTGGCCTGAAGATGCCGAAGATGAAGGATATGGACTGGCCAGGTTTCCCAAAATTTTCAGGCAATAAAATTTACGCAGGAGCTGATACAGACTTTTTAGCGTGGGGAAAAAATGTGCAGCGTATCGTGGCGGCGCAGGTGATGAGCGGTGGCGACTGGTCTGACGACTTCAAGTTTTTAGCATTCACGAATAAGCTAGAGGGACCAGCTTTTTTGACAAGGTGGTACCGAAGTGGACCGCGGAATCCAACACGGTTAAGCATGTCATGGACAGAATGCTGCGTTTTACTCAACGAAGTTGCCGGTTTCTAAGGCAATGGACCTTATGTGTGAACCGAAGGCAAGCAGCAAAACATGGAAGGAACATATTCAGTGGTTGGTGCACGTGGCGTAACGTGGCGTAACGTACAGGTTGTCCGGACAAGTTAGTGCTTCAGTGTTTGTGCGAATCAGCACCTTACCAGGTAAAGACGGCGATGTTGACGCGCCTTGACTCAAACAGAGTCGACCACATTTATCAAGCATGGGAATTGGTGGCTTTTGCGGTCGAGTATAAACTTAGCTCAACCAGACACAGTAGTGGGCGTGGTGTCAGTATTCGGTACGGACGCAGTGAACTTTTTGGTTGAGACGGACAGATCCGCAGTTTTGTTGGTCGAATCGAGGATGGTAGTGTTGACGCAGGCAATGATCGCACGTGCTGGTCGTGCGGAGGTATCGGGCACCTTAAACGAAAGTGCACTGCAGACAAGGTAAAAGATGACGCAAAGGTAACGCTGGCCATTGGCAGTGGTGTGTCTAGGAAACTAGTAATGAAGGTGTCTGGATTCTGGACAGCGGTTCGAGTGTACACTTGATACGCGACGTCAGCCTACTGCGAAACGCTGTCGACTGCTCCAACAAATGGCAGACAGCCAACGGAAGCACGTTACGTGCAACGCAACGAGGGACATGAACGTAGAGCTATTCTGCTGCGCGGCGGGAATTAGGCGGCAGGTGAGCGGAGCCAATAATCGGGCCTCGAATGGAAAGGCTGAGCGCATGCAAAGAAAATTTTTTGAACATGGGTCGGTGCATGTTGACGAACAAGTGCCTGTATCTGGCGAGTACCATCACGTTTGGTAGCCTGTGCACCGTTTACTGAAATTCAGACAAAGAGTCGTGGCATCCGCGTTGCATCCGCGTTCTCTTTGTCTGAAGGTTTTTAAAAGTTTACATTTCAAAGGACCGGGCTGTGATAACGACCCAACACATCAAGAACGTGAAGACGCTTGGTAGCACCCAGAACGTACAGCTTCAAGCCCAGAATTTAAAAGAGGACCCCGATCTTCGAAATTAATCGATGAGTTTGACGCATCGATAATTCCAAACGACTCTACTCTTGGCAGTGGGGTGGAGTGGATTCTCAAACGACGTAAGAAACCGTTGTAATGGGGCAACCTATTACATTAAAAGTTGTAGGGGTAATATATAATTACATAAGTAGGCGTAGGGCAGTATACGATTAGCGGATACTGCGCGTCATTTTATTATTGAGGTGCCAGAACCACTAAACCAATAATAAATTGACTTTCATATTGAGTGGTTCCCCATGAGCTAGGGAACATATTCGCACTTACTGCGAATTAAAACAAAACAAAAATAAAACAGAGTTATATTTACGAGTTAATTAAGAGCGCATCCTCAACGCCCTTTTAGTGTAAGATGGTAACAGGTCTGTAGCCCGTTACACCTGGGAGCACTTCGTTGTCCTTCCAATGACACGATTCGAGATGAACATGGACGAGTCTTCGGTTGGTTCAGCGTTCTCACTGGAGCATTCTGACTTCCCACATCTCACCTCGGCGGAGTGACAGGCACTACACCGCGTTGCGGCGGTTTTTGGTGGAACTATTGTGACGCCACTGCTGAGCTCAGCGGCGTCCGATGATCAGCGTGCCCCCAAAACGATTTTATGGTGCGCGAGCTCGCCGAAGCGAATCGGCGAGTATTAACTCCCTTGCGCACTTCGCACCATGACACTATCAAGATGGAGACGTCAACGTACTCCGATGATGGTCCGGATCGTCTCCCCCTTAATCGATGGTTTCGCGAGGTGGATATTGCAATAGAGTCAAGATTAATTGACGCTCCGACGGCCAAGGTCAATTTCCTGCTGTCTCGGCTTGTTGGCAAAGCCAAGGAATGGGCTGTCGGAATTCACGTCGTAGATGAGTCCGCGTTCCCAACGCTGGACTTTATCCAGCGTGACTTACGACTGGCTTTCGAGCCTCCTCAAGATGAATCTCGCTTGCGTGCAGATTTATTCTCCTCCGATAGGGCAAGCTGTCGATGCGTGGCCTCGTGCAGAAGACACGTCATCTTGCTTTGTGCATTACCACGCAGCCAATTGACATGGCTTCAAAGTCCATGTCTATTTTTGGCATGCAAGAAGGCATGAAGCGTTACTGCCTCACACGTACTGAGATAAAGTCCCTCGAGGAGGCATTTGCCCTCGCGCTTCGTGAAGATTACACTGTCGCGTCGTCGTACCTGCACGCAGCGTCACAACATCTGCGGGCTTCTGGCCCATATCTAATAGAAATTGATGCAATCGAGTCCTCTCGTGGTCACGGCAAATCATTAAGCCGCGACATTCGAAATCCTAACACGATGAAGCGTTTTCGCTGTGGCAAGACAGGCCATCGTGTGGCTGTCTGTCGAGCACCTGCGCCGGTGACTATGAACACAGATGTCTCACGAGGAGACGCTGTGTCGTCGGTGGTCCCTCCAAAAAACGAGCGGTTCCAGTAGGCGCGGGACGCCCTACTGGCAGAAATGGAGCCCCGAGTATTCAGGTGGAAGCTCGGGCTCCTAGCCCCAAAGTGATTCATACCCACTTCAATGCCACCACCATGCGCGATGATTCGAGACTGATTATTATCAGTCTCATCGTCGCTGGAGTGAAGCGACCACTCCGAGCGTTGTTGGATTCTGGCGCTTCCAACAACTTCTTTCGTGCATCCTGTTTGTCTCTTCTCCCGTCGACTGTCACGGTTCGAGAAGGTCCAGGTGACATCGTTGTCAAACTTGCCGACGAACAACCAAAACGTGTCCCGCGTAAAACAGTGGTTTTACCGTACACTTTCGACGGTTTCCAGAGCAACGACGAATTTTGGTGTACGAGATGAACTATGCATTTGATTGCATACTTGGGATACCGTGGCTGTCACACTATCAGCCGAAGACAGATTGGCTATCTCGGTCCGTCAAACGACGAAGCGGTTTTGACGTCAATGAAGTGTTTACTCATTTGTTGGTCGCGTCATCCGATTGGCCTCACGTCAGGGTCGTGAACGAACTCGCCATGACTAGTAGTCAACACAGAGAGAGCACTGACCCTCTGTGCGCAGAGTGTTCCGTTACACTGATGGAGCCACAGAACGAAGCGGTCGAACAGCATTTCCCGCATACAAAGACATCGGTCGAACAGGGGTTCCCAATTCTCAACGAGGCGGTCGAGCAGGGGCTTTCGCAAACAAGTGAGGCGGTCGAAGACGAGCTCCCGCCTTTGATTGACGAGAATGGCCGGACTATGGATCCGCATGAGGCCGACGTGGTGGAGACAGAGCTCCCACGTCTAGAGGGGGGTACATCATCCTCTTGTGATAGCGACGTGCCAGTCTCGAGCAGGGGATCGAGACGCAAGAGAAAACGCAAGAAAGGAGCCCGTCGATCACCGAGACGACGAAATGCACGTCAAGATGCTGATGCAGATGATTATTTAGTGACGGAATCTGTATCGCACTTGATTTTGTGGAGGGATCCCCCAATCGTGGCCGCTACATTGAGGTAGCGAGCCCACCATACACTGCTGCAGAGATCACATCTCTGTTAGACCTTTCATGGAAAGACTTCCTTCATGACCTCAAGGGCGGCGACATCGAGCAAGTGTGCATCGTTTCAGCCACCGAAGCAGCCAGTGAAGAAGTTCTGGAGGCTCGCCCGAAAAGTGCCGAGCCTAAATCAGCTCGCGAAGAATGCTTCGCAGCACAGTCTTGGGATGCTCTTCGTGCTTCGGGCAACCCTGTATACGATATCGCCCGTGAATACGCCGATATTTTCCCGGAAAAAATTCCAGCTGAGCTTCCGGCGGATCGTAGTGTGCAGCACGAGATAGATCTAGTGCCAGGATCGAAATACTGCGTGACACGGCAGTGGCCGTTACCGCGCGACCAAGTAACCGCTATTAATAAATTTTTTGAGGGTCGCCGCAAGCCTGGTCATGTCCGCGAGAGTATCTCGCCACATTCGAGCCCTACTTTCTGTGTGCAGAAAGCCACCGGCGGTTGGCGCATTTGTGTACGCCTTCAACAAGCTGAATGACGCCACGATCCCGGCTCAAACGCCTATCCCTCGAAAAGACATGGTATTAAATACCATGTCCGGGAGCGAGATCTACAGCGCCATAGATCTGACAGACGGTTTCTATCAGATCCTCATGAGGGAAAGTGACATTCCGTTCACTGCGGTCAGCACCCCAAGCGGGATGCTTTGGGAGTGGCTAGTCATGCCACAAGGTGGCAAGAACGCTCCAGCTACATTCAATCGGATGGTGACAAAAGTACTTCGCCCACTTCGCGACTTTACACCGAGCTACTTTGACGACATTTTCGTTCACAGCCGCGCTGAGCTTTTGCTCAGCGCTACGAAGGTACACCTTCGACACTTGAAGCAGGTGTTTCAAGTTATGCGCGAGAATAAATTGTATGCGAATTTGAAGAAAGGTGTCTTCTGCGTTCCCGAGATTCCAGTACTCGGTTGCTACGTCAGCAAGGAAGGTGTCCGCGCTGATCCTAAGAAGATCTCATCAATCTGTTCCTGGCCAACGCCCAGGAACCAAACTGAATTACGTCAATGGCTCGATCTGGCGAATCACTTGCATAAGTATACGCAGAATAATGCTGAGCTAATTCAGCCATTATCGACTTTGCTCAAGAAAGATGCAGTATGGTTATGGACGGCAGAACATCAATTTTCCTTCGACTCCGTAAAGAAGAGCTTGTCCAAGGCACCGGTGCTGATGTTACCTGATGACTCTAAGCCATTCCACGTCGTGTTTGACGCGAGCAATTTCGCTATAGGATGTGCCCTCATGCAATTTGATGACGAGGGTCGAGAGCGCGTCGTGGGTTTTCAATCACGACAGATGAAACCTGCCGAGAAAAATTATCCGGTACACGACAAGGAACGTTTGGATATGCGTTACGCGCTAATCAAGTTTAGAGTATATTTGCTCGGTGAGAAGATGTTTTCTATCTACACATATCACGCATCATTGCGTACCGCCGTCAAGAGTCCTCACTTGTTCCAGCGTATGGCACGGTGATTGTCATTTTTTGCCGAGTATAATTT